TGGAGCTGTAAGGCTTTCAGGTTTGGGTTCGTGGTTTTCAGGGTTTCGGCATCTAGGGTGTACCTACAGTCTCCATTGTAGTTCCTTTTTTTGATTAATCAGTTTTAGGGTTAGGATCCTATAACGGAGATTTTGGTTAACCAACTAAAAAAGGAGCTACAATGGAGACTATAGGTAGTGTGTGCAGCTCAGGAGTTGTTGGTTTGGGTGCTCTTTGAGGCTTCATGGTGTTGGGCCGTTGGGCCCACTTTCAAGTATCTCTGATAGAAACTGGACCTGGATTTGCAGAAGACCAGAAAGCCGACCCCCAAATCTTTGCCGCACCTAGCCAAGAGCGCTGTAGCGTAAGCTTTAAAGATTTTAGGGCTAGCGGTTTAAAACCCTGTAAGCCCTAGACCCTAAACTTTCCGATGCCTGAACCCCATAAAGTTTACAAGCTCAGTGGGCCTTCCTTAGGCTTGCAAGTCTTGCAGCAGTGACTGTCCCAGAGGATCCATATACACTATGCTACAATTATGGAATCAGGTGCACCACAGCCATAATCAGGATGGCCCTCTGGGACCTACAATACCATACAGGGAACTCCAGAAAGTTGGAATATGATTTCATGGTAGGCTACACTATAATTTACCATAGAAGGGTTAGGAAAATAAAATCATATTCCAACTTTCTGGCTTTTACCTTAATGGTATATGTGGACTCTTAGGGTTAGTTATTGTTTGGAGTTCAGTCACTCAAGGTTTAAGTTCTTGGGTCAGGGGCTTTGTTAAGATTCGTGCAGGACTCTGGCCGCAGAGCAGGTTGTGCGCGACAAAAGACGACGTTTGCTGTTGGACCAGCGACCTAGGTACGGTCTCCATTACTTGCAATCCAGGAACTTTCATGGAAGCAGAGTTCCAAGCCGTAGGCACGGTTCAGATGATGCTGTGGGCCTGGCAGGTTTTGGCTTTGGTGGCTGGAGGCATGATGACAGAGCCAGGGTCGGCAGCAGCAGGCGCACGGGGAGCTCTGGAGGCGCTGGTGGAGGAAACGGGCGCCGGAGGAGGGTTTATCCTGGCTGGCGGAGGCGGCGAGGCAGGACGCCCACGCTCCACTTGCGTCTTTGCTGGTGCAGCAGGTGATGGCGATTCTCGAATCGCAGCGGGATACCCAGATACACTGCCTGCACCTCGTCGAGGCCGCGCAGGAACAGAGGCAGGCGGATCGAAGGATGCAGAAGACCCTGAACCAGGAACTTCAGGCCATTCAACAGCTCGTCGCCCGACAGCTGGGCCAAGAGCTGTCGTCGGGCAGTCGGACACCGACCGGAGTTCCGGTGACGCCTGTTCATGCGCCGAGGACAAACAGCAGGCCGTACACAACGAAAATATTGTAGACCCTAAACACTACTTTCAAATTATTGGTCAACCAGAAAAGGGCCTACACTCGAGACGTAGAACTCAAGCATGGGCAACATGGAAATGTGATTCCTGGTTTCGGTCCGCAGAGACTCCAATATCCTTTAATTAAGGAATATACCTTAAATGATAGTAGGATCCCTTATATGATTTAAGGTATATTCCTTAATTAAGGGATATTGGAGTCTCTGGGTCTTGCTCTGAAATTGCAAACCCACAGGCTCCATGTACCCATATAGTAGCTACTTAGGCTTTAAAGTACCTATATAGGGACCCCTTTAAGGCCTAAGTACCTACTATATGGGTACATGGAGCCTTAGGGAAAGCTTTAGGCTTGAGCGTTAGGGGTTCGAGTGTTGGGTTCGGTCTTGTTCGAAAGCAGTTACCTACCCGAAGCTGCTCGACAACAGGCGCTCGTAGTGCAGGCGTACCGGATTGACAAACCTATTCGAGCGAGCTGAATTTGTTTCTTACGGGCGTTTGGGTTGAGAAGTTCATAAGTGTTTACGATTCCTAGTTGGTCGGACAACAGAACTAGCAGAACCTTAACGCCTGAAACGTAAACCGCAAGCCCAAGCCCGTAAACGGAAAGCCCTAACACAGGGGTCGGAGTAATCACCAAGACTATTTCTGACGGCTCCTCATGCACCTGTACTACAATATGCTCCCAGCAACCCTCAACGCCCAAAGCCCTAAACCCTCAAGGCTAGGGTAGAACTATGACCCAACATCTAACTTCTGAGGCCCAGGGCAGACCCCGAAACCCTCCACTCAGGTCAGCGGACAGACTGCATGTTTGAAGCCGGACGGCCGGAAAAGAGTTGCCTTGCATGGTCACTGCTATCCTTGCGGAGTTCTCCCAGGAGTTGTACAGGGTTTTTATTGGGAGACCTGGTTTAGGGTTCCGGAGCGCTCCTGGTAGTTTGATAGCCGAATGAACCCTGAATCCTAGAAGCGTAGGCAGCCCGAACAATCGGAACGGTTGTCTTCGAGTAGTGTAGAAGGGCAAGAACGGGATATTTTTACTTCTTCAGACCTGTATACTTACTAAGGCTTTCGTTACAGGAGTCAAGTCAAATGTTTCGGTGTAGTTTCAGGACTTGACAACGGAGTTGGAGACCGGATTAAGGCCAAATAGTGCTGGGATTCCCTATACATTAATCTTACGGATTGAGGCAATGGGGTTTCCAACTTTTCGGCTTCTACTGCAGGGCTCAGGGCTTTTCAGGGTCTCCAGTTCGACGGTCTACTGTAAGGCTTGTAATTGCGATGCGGATACTTCAACGCAGGTTGCCCTTCAAGCTATTCATCAAAGGCGCTTCTGCAACTAAAGTGAAGAACAGCGCCTACTGCCAATTGAGAGTGGTCTTGTAAGGTTCACAGAATGCACCTCCTGCAAATTACAGGATTGGAGACGGGTCAAGTTTGTCGCCTGCTCGTATCATACCGCTTGTGAAGAAGCAGCAGCATTTGTGGAATGGGCGGCGTAACACGAGTGCAGACCTGCGAGCATTCACTTGTCTTCCCATCCAATTAAGCAGGCAGTTTGCCCGCGGCATCGCACGCCGTCTCCCTACCAAGGACTTTCGAGGTATATATTGCTAAAGGATCGGCCGTTGCACTATCTTGCATCGTCGTTCTTCCCGCTAAGCTCTGCAAAGGCACAGAAGGCCACCACCGCAGCCTTTTCGGCTGACATTGTCCCTGTAATAACAGGGCGTACCCCTCTCGATTGCGTGGAACCTGTGCCGTTTGCCCTGGCCTCAGTTACCAGGGCCTGCACATGGACCCGAAGCAAGCTATGTAAGTCTGTAGGGCTCCTTGGTACTCTTTCCTGAAAGCACGGAGGTTTTGGGGGGCTTCAGGTACTTCCTATGCACACGAAAAGCAGCACCTATATTGTCTTCGAAATCCGAGTATAATGTCGATCTTGCTGTCGAAGGCCTCTAACTCGGTCGCTTTCTTGCAAAAGAATAGCATCGACATTTGGACCCCGGGGGCAGGGATACCGATGTCACTAGCTTGCTGTGTTTTGGTTATGCTTTGGGAGACTTCGGACCAAGGGCGCGATCTCCGCCCTCGGGTTCCCGGTTTCCTTTGATGGGCTCTTTACTGATATGGGGTCCTTAACGCTTAGAATCATCATTGGAATGTGCATTGTATTAGGGGTGTATTGTAAAATCACATCAGGAGCCCCGCGAAACAGTATTGGTATTTTAAGTGGCAGCACCACATGTATTTGATAGGTGATCCAAACGGGGTACGCGCTGCAAATCAAAGTCTTGGTATAGTCGAGGACAAGTCGATGCTCAGCGTAGCTACAAATGCCACAACAGATGTTCGTAATTTGCATTTCGGGCATCATTTCTCCGATATAACATACTTCCGTTAATTAGTACAATAGTAGTACAGTAGTAGTGCAATAATAGTACAGTAGTACAACAGTAGCACAATAGTAGTACAGTAGTAGTACAGTAGTAGTACGATAATAGTACCGTAGTACAACAGTAGTACAGTAGTAGTACAATAATAGTGCAGTAGTACAATAGTAATACAACAGTAGTACAGTGGTAGTACAATAGTAGTACAGTAGTAGTACAACAATACAATAGTAGTACAATAGTAGCACAATAGTAGTACAGTAGTAGTACAGCAGGAGTACGATTATAGTACCGTAGTACAATAGTAGTACAGTAGTAGTACAGCAGTAGTACAGTATTAGTGCAGTAGTACAATAGCAATACAACAGTAGTACAGTGGTAGTACAATAGTAGTACAGTAGTAGTACGATAATAGTACAGTAGTACAATAGTAGTACAGTAATAGTACAGTAGTAGTACACAAGTAGTACAGTAGTACAGTAGTAGTACAGCAGTAGTACAGTAGTACAGTAGTAATACAGTAATATAGTACAGAAATAGTACCAATAAGCAAAGCATAAAGCCAGTGAGCACATTCCCCCAATAAGCAAAGCATAAAGCCAGCGCCTGAAACCCTAAACCCTAAACCCTGAACCCTAAACCCTAACACACCCTAAACCCTAAGCCCTACACTTTAGTACTGGAGAGGCCTTTGTCGAGCAAGGGTCCAATTCCCAATTCGGCGGTTCACCCTAGCAGCCCCCCCCAGTAAGCAAGGCATACAGTAGCAGTACAATAGTACAATAGTAGTACAGTAGTAGTACAGTAGTAGTACAGCTTCTCATTCCTGACGCCCCAATACGCGAAACAATTCTGCAAGAGATTTTCGGGCTTCAGGGCCAGGTTTTAGGGTTGGGTGGGGGTTTGGGTGCGGGTTTAGGTCGTGGCTGCCTTAAGATTGACCATCAGCAAACAGCACAGCCCCGCCACCAAAAAGTCCCCCCAGGCAAAAAAAAACGCATTAGTTAGTACCCCCAAATTTTTGGTCAGATTCGGAATTAGCCCCCGAGCCGACGCATTAAAGGGGCCTATATTCCAAAACCGACACCCACATTGCTTCCGATTGCAGTTTAGTGTCGAGGCGAGCCCCTGACCCAAGAATCCTTACACCCTAAACTCAAACCCTAAAAGCCTTTGAAGCCACGCGCCTAAGACTCATGATTCCAGGTCTGTCACAGGAAAGATGCAAGACTGCGTCACGGATTGGCCGCACCCTCAGCTCGAAACAGGCCCCAAAGTACCCTTGAATAGACGTTGATGGTAGCTGTTTTGACTTTATGTACGTATAGTATGTGTATGTATATGTATGTGTGTGTGTATATATATATATATATGTGAGCATATATATATATATATATATATATATACACAGAATTACAGGTAGTTCGGAGGGTCCGGGTTTGGTTTAGGCTGTGTCTTTGCATTTAGGGTTTCGGGCTTTGGGTTTAGGGTGTTGGGTTTAGGGTTTGGGCTGTTGGGTTTAGGGTTTGGGGTGTTGGCTGTAGGGTTTTGGGATGTTTAGGGGGAAGAGGATCTCCAACACATGTGTTTTGCTTATTGTCTCATGTACCTCAAGGCCTAAAGGCCTAAGCATATACCACAGGGGTACGTGCACCCTTGGTGATTAAATCCTTGAAGACACTGGCGCTCCAGAGAGTCACATCCTTTCGGTTCTCGGTTTAGTGTGTATGGTTTAGGGTTTGGGGTAGGATTGAGTGGCTTGCTAAAGAGGTGCATACCCTGACAAACTCCAAAAGCCTACTCTATAGTTCTGATTATACAGGCCCCTAGACTAAGTTGAAGCCAGATGCAGCTCAGTGTGGTTAAAGCTATACCAGACCTTTACCGGGGTTTCCAAAATTGGGGGGGACCTTGCCTGGGGTCCATATTCGGATCCTACTATTCAGGGTATACTATATTAGGGATTAGGGTCCCCTATTTTTGGAAACTCCCTTCTGGAGAAACCTGTAAGTGCAAGGGGTTCATTCCGTTGGATTTGTTTGGAAAGCTTTGTGTGGAAATTCCCCAATGCATGGGTTTGGGGTGTATGGTGTCGAGTTGAGGGGGTTTGCGGTCTAAAGCGAAATCAAACATCAGTTGCGCCATGTTCAGGCAGAGCCCTGTGATTCCGCCCACTATCCGCCGTGGTGGCCCCAAAGTCTTCAAGCAGCTGCAGATTGGTCGATCGTAGTTGTCTAAATTATAGAACTACCACGACATGTAGTCTCGGCGTCGCTTTGCCCTAACAAGCCCCAAGCCCTAATCTGATCACGGGCACCTGAGATTCCCTTTTATGTTTAGAGTCCTACAAGCAAGTTCAGAAAGTAGCCGTACATAGCCGGACAAATACATTGTATCCTGAGGCGCTAGAACCGAAAACCCTGCAAACCCTGGTGAAACCCTTGCGGTGCTTGTACTGAGCCCTGCACTTTTAGGGTTTTAGGGTTTGGGGTTGGCAGCTTTATAACTCTGAATACCAAGTCCTAAGCATGAGTCCCGAGACACATATTATTACTACTGGTAACATCTAACCACTGAAGCCTGAATTCCTTGAACGCGCTCAGCTTCCGACCTCGCATGCTGGCTTATACCTAAGCCCCCCAATAGTAGGTAAAACCATAGTCCACAACTTATAAAGGCCGTAATTCTAGGACATACTTGTTGAAGTTCCAGGTATGGGCTTACTCGGGCAAAGGGTTCAGGATGGTTCAGGGTTAAGTGCCTTGGCACTTCCAGGTATCCTTCTGTTTGGCCTTGGGGCGTGGGACTTCGGGTGCAGGGCTACATAGAGGTCTCGATACTCCGTATAACGTAGGAACCCGATTAAGAAACCTTGGGCCTTTCTTAGGGTTCCTTATAAATAGTAGCTGAGTGGATACACTCTACACTTTTTGGGATAATATTACCCACCATAAAACTGAATGTGTGCACTTTTGGGGGGGCTTATGATTTCAGCCGCTAAGTATATGAATCCTAGTATTTGGGGGTTATAGGTCCAGGGTTTCTTAATCAGCTTCCTACGTTACATACGGTCGCTGGAGAATTTCTCCTTCAGGGCTGCTACGGCTTCGCCACGCTCACCTTTGAACCCAAGCCCCAGGTTTAGGGTTTAGAGGTTTAGGGTTTAGGGTTTAGGGGTTTTGGTATCATCTTGGTATATACTTAGACCCCCAAAATATCCTATAAGTACCTACCATCATGATACTTGGACCCTTTGGGACCCCTGAACCCCAAAGCCCTTAGCTCCCAGAGCCCTCATGTACTAACCTTGAGCCCGACCTCTGAAACCTAATCCCTGAACCCCTATGCCCCCTTAATCCCGAAGTCCTCAAAAAAGAAGCCCTAAACTCTTCGATTCTAAACCCTAAACTCGATAAACCCTAAACCCTAAATCCCTAAACCCTAAACTTTCCTAAACCCTGAACCCTAAACCCCTAAACCCCTAAACCCCAAAAAATCCTGAGCCCTGTGCATCCTACCTTCCAGCCTAAGGACCATGGCGTGTCTTCGAGGAGGACCTGGAGGAGCCACGTCAGATGGCGCTGGGAAACCGGCAGGGACGATAGGGGCCTTAAGGGGGCTTGGGGTTTAGGGATCAGGGCTTCAAGTTTAGGGCTTAGGGCCTAGGGTTAAGGGGGTTTAGGACGATAGGGGCCCCTGGAGCCCCCCATAACTGCGGTGCTTTTGGAGGGTTTTACCATACTTCCGTTCTGTAGGACTTAGACTGGGTGTGGGTGGAAGAAAGTGGGTGTCCTTGGGCTGGGTTCTTATGAACTGACGTTCCTTTCTCTAGATCTTGTATAGCATAGCATAGACCCAGCCGGCTATTAACGCGCTTCAATTCAGGGGTCTGGGGGCTTTGTTGCCCAAGGATTCCACTGCGATCAATTCCCTTGTTTCTAGAGGTCGTGAGGTGCCGGGTTTGGGTCGTAGATATCGGGCATAAGGGAGTTGATGGTTGCGGGGTGCAGGTCTGGGTATAATAGTTAATCGGGCATGGCCTTCCTAAGACTAAGATCAACCTAGTGGTGCCTAAGGTATTGGGGGCGTTTGGGGTTTGGAAGTTGGGTGTTTCTCATGGCTTTTTCACAGTCATGTGCTGATGTAGTGGACTTCCATGTACTTCCGCTTCTGCTAAGCTTGTTCCGACTCGACTTTCCACAGTATGTTCCCAGAGACTCCAATATCCCTTAGTTAAGGGAAATACCCTAAACCATACTAGGGATCCTAGCATAATTTAAGGTATATTCCTTAATTAAGGGATATTGGAGTCTCTGGGTTCGTCAACCGAAGCACTGAGTTGGGTACTGCCCCCGATCAGTGACAATTGGATAATACTCATAATACAGATATATACTAGGAACTTAATAGTAGCCCTATTACGGAGTGCTACTGTACGGGGGCCGCCCCTAAACCCTAAACCCTATAGATCCCTTTTAGGGGCCCTTAAAGGAACCCTTGTCGATCCCTTTAAAGGAACCCTCGGAGTCTATGGGAATTCCCGGAAAAGCACTGAGTCTTATTTGGGAGTCCGAATCTGCCCAGCATGTCTCTAGGAGAAGGTGACGAGCAATGCAAGTCAAGTTGGCCAGGCGTCTGCAGAGTGTTTATGGTGATTTCAAGGTTTAGGGGTTTTGGGGTTTAGGGTTTAGGGTGATTTCAAGGTTTAGGGATTTTAGGGTTTAGGGATTTTAGGGTTTAGGGTTTAGGGTGATTTCAGGGTTTAGGGGTTTTGGGGTTTAGGGTTTGGGGGTGATTTCAGGGTTTAGGGGTTTTGGGTTTAGGGTTTAATTAGAGTGGTTTTGGCTTGAAACCCCTAACCCTAAACTCTTAGGTGCTAAGCAAGACCCGCGCATCCAGCGGTTTAGATGCCCGAGGTAAGAGTTGAGTCCGCAGCAGAGCTTCGATCAGATGACGACAGTTGACGCAGGTCTGTTGAATTATCAGGCTGTCGCTTCGCCATGCGTCATAAGACTTAATTAGGACTGAACGCTTACCCTAAGGCTCCATAATAGGTCCTTTTTGGGAGTACGGTATAGGATTCTGAATATGAACCCCAAGAAGGAACTACTATGGAGCCTCTCTGTAATTTAGGGTCCAGGGTTTGAGCTGATATACGGCTTTCGAGTTGTAGGGTTCAGGTTGTAGGATTTCGGAATCATGCTTTGGAGATGCTGGCAGGGCTGCGGCTTGCTAACACGATCGCTCTATCAAAGGGCTCTTCATCTTATGCATGTTCTCTTGCTTTCTGAAGAGGACGCTCGTGCATGTTCTACTCGAATCGGAAACAGCATGACTCAGGAAGCACAACCCTAACTCTTATGCAGCTCTTGTGCAGAGTTCCCTAAAACACGGCTCCCCCGTGCTTGCATGTAGTATCCTTCTATTTGGGTTGTGCGGATTTCTTGCGAAGTCTACTGCCATTGTACACCTGATTCGTAACCCCTACCTGGACCCCAAACAACCTACCTTTTTAAGGGCTTTTTTGAAGAAATCATATTAGGGAGCCCTAAAAAGGTAGGTTCTTTGGGGTCCAGGGAGGCCCTCATGGTACTTGGAGGATCATGGGACTTAGTAAATAGGGTTATAAGTACCTTAATTGGGGTTGGAAGTATAGTTACCCTAATTATAACCCTATCCTTTAAGTAGTGTAGCACCATATAGAGCCCCCGACCCTTAACCCTGAGCCTCATAGTGTAAAGCCTACACTGGCCTACTCTCTAAGCCCGGCATCTAAGATAGGGGGCGTTACCTTGACCTCCCAAAACCTACTTTTTTGTAGGGTCCCTTCCATATTGGGGTTTATAATAAGAACCTACAAAAAAGTAGGGTTAGGTAGTTTAAGGTGGTAGTTGGCAAAGATATTTTTCAAGGGTCCCTGAACATACTTGCTTTATTATGCCCCCCACAACTCGAATCATTCTACTCATTTAGGCCTCACTATTGTGTAGTCTAGAGTCTTGGTGTTGATTCGACTACAGTGCGTGCTGGCCAGGTGGATGCCAAAGTTCGTGAGCAGATCGCTGCAGTTCAGGCGGGTTTGAAAGTTCGTTGGGAAAGGTAACCCAAAGGCTCCATGTACCTTTCTAGTAGATACTTAAGCCTTCAAGGGGTCCCTAAATGGGTACTTTAAGGCCAAAGTATATACCATATGGGTACATGGAGCCTTAGGGTAAGGTCCTTTACTGTACGTGGGTTGGCGTGGGTTACCGGGTAATTGCAATCGGAGAGCACAAATCCCGAGCTTCCGGTGCAAAACTTGTTTTGGTGGCCTCAATGAATCAACAGCGTGGGCTTTGGGTCTGGTAAGGGGAACTCCAGAAAGTTGGAATGTGATTAATGGTAGGATCCCCTATAATTTACCTTACAGGGGTTACGATAATGATATTCCAACTTTCTGGCTTCTACTGTATGCTAATCCAACCAACCTAGCACAGTCTTGGTTTAGTTGGTTGTCGGATTTCGGCATGCTCCAGCATTGACGCGTTGAGACGCAGGACTGTGCATATGCGTCATAAGGAATCTGCCCCAGAAAATCCAGACTTCAGCCTACAGACTCAAATTACTTACCTTTGGTTAGTAGGGAATGTAAGAATGGTAGAAATAGTAGTTATAATTGTACCCCATCCCTCCATGCCCTACTAACCCAAAGTAAGATTATAGAGTAAGCGTTATTCCAGGATGCAACTTGCCGCAGGCTTTCACGGAATTCGCGGGTACGTGGGACCTTATGATTCAGCCCTACATTAGACAAGCAACCAGATCCTGAACCGCACAGGCTAAAGTGCCCACAAAACCCGAGACCATAATTAAACCCTATGTAAGCCCTAAACTGTAAAACCCAATAGACCCAGGTTCCAAACCCTATAGTAAAAGCCAGAAAGTTGGAGCATGGCTTTAGGAGGACGACTGCTAGGATGCCTTATACTTTACCTCAAGGGCATGAGGACAGTGATGTTCGCTTCTACCATAAACAGTACGCAGTTGCTGCATACCCTAAGCCATAAACACTAATACCCTAAGGCTCCATGTACCCATATAGTATATACTTAGGCCTTGAAGTACCCATTTAGGGACCCCTTTAAGGCTTCAGGATCCACTATAAAGGTACATGGACCCTTATTTCCTAAACCCCATAGAACCCTTTAAAGGAGCCCTATAAAGGTACCTTTTTAAAGGAACCCTGTAAAGGTACATGGAGCCTTTGGGATAAGCGATCAATACCCACAGATGCTGGAAGCCGTAAGCGCCCGATGGATCCGAGAAGCCTCAGGAACCCCTAAGCCCAATCTATCGTGCAACACCTAAACTTGCAGCCCCAGAGACTCCATTCTCCCTTAATTAAGGAGTATAGCTTAAATTATAGTAGGATCCCGAATATGATTAAAGGTATATCCCTTGATTAAGGGATATTGGAGTCTCTGGGGCCTATGAGCCCTGGACGCACCCACTCACCACATCCACCCCCCCGAATAAGAAGCTACTGTAACCGCAATCCTTAGACCCCCCAAGCCCGAAACCCTGCACCCCCAAACCCTAATCCTAAACTCTAAACTCCAAAGCGAGGGAAGTTGTACACGTTTTCAGAACAAACCGTCAGCTCTCTGTTCAGGCTAAAGGAGCTCGCGTTGCTTTCCTTTCCTTGTCGGAGTCTGAACGTCAGACATACTACCAGGCTCCGCTTAGGGTGTGGGCTCCAGGGCCTTTACTAGTTTCAGGGCTTCAGGGTTTAGGTTTAGGTTTAAGGGTTTTGTGTGTTTTCCCCTAACCCTAAACCTTAAGGGTCCAAGGAGTCCTATGTATGGGCTTTTGGTACCTTAAAGAGCTTTAAAACCCTATAATAGGGAGTACCTGGACCCTCTGGGTAAATCCTAGACTGTATTGGGTTTTTAGGGCTTTTCTCAGGCCCCTTTTTAGGCTGCGGTCTTCAGTGAACTTCCGATTTGGGCTTCTATAGGAACGGTTTAGGGTTTATAGGGTGTAAGGTTCAGGATTTAGGGTTAAGGGTTCCATGGAAGTTCTATAAGAGTTCTAAACGGATTCCCAAAGGGGCTAACGGTGCCAGGATCTACTTGGAGGGTCGGGGGACTTAGTAAGTGGGTAGTAAGTAGACTTATAAGTACCCTAAAAGCGATCCTAATTGGGGTTATGGTACTTATAACTCTACACAATAACTACTTAGTAAGTCCCCCGACCCTTCAAGTAGAGGTTTCGGGGTTTGGGGTTGCCGGGGTTAGGGTCTCGGCGCAGGTACTGTCCCTAAGTTAAGGCTCCATGTACCCAGTAGGTACTTTGGCCTTAAAGGGGTCCCTATATAGGTACTTTACGGCCTAAGTAGCTACTATATGGGTGCATGGAGCCTTTGGGTGTAGGCTGAACTTAGGTAGACCACACTTCGAACAGTCTCCGTTGGAGTTCCTTTCCGAAGGTCAAGAAACGAGGTTGGATTTTGGGACATGTTTGTTTTCCGTATTTGGGTTTATAAGGGGCCCTATGTATAAATATTTTTCAGGGTGTTTAAAGGCCAACCCAGGAAAGCTTGAAGGTCGTAGGATGCTAGCCATAAGACTTGGTCAGCCAACAAGACGCACTACAATGGACACTGTAGGTTGGATCGCTGAAGGCGCGGTTCGCTATCGCACATTACATGGCATTCCCCGCTTGCCTTCATCCCCGCGTTTGGAGCACGTTGAGCTTACCTTAGGCTGTACACAATTGCTGTTGGTTTCGGGCCCAGAGTTTAGGATTTGGGATGTTTGAAGTCGTCGGTACTTGGCATACCCTTGTTCGAAGCATAGCCGAACTTCATGGCAGGATTGGTTCGTATTGACTACGCAGGCCCTTTCAACCCTGTATATAAATCCTCCTTACTCAAACACCCCAAGCCGTATGCCTCAACCCCTTTCAGCCCTAAGCCCCATAAGCCCTTCAACCGAAATACCACCGCCTGAACAGGTGGCGTTGCATGAGCTCTCCGCGTTCGTCTTTTGGCGGCGGTCGCAGGACGGACAACCGGACCTCTGTCTCCACCAATCTATCTGTCCATCCATCTGTCCATCGATCTATCCATCTAGTCTAACTATCCATCCTTTCATGGTTTTTGAGCGTCTCTATGTATGCATGGATGAAAGGATGGGTGGATGGGTGTAGGTTTGCTTCTAGGCTTCTGGGTTCCAGGCTGTATGGGCATCTGCAGTACGTCGTTAGCTTCGGGACTTCTGCAGCATTCAGAGCTTGTTGAATGTACAATCCAAGAGGGTCCATATACTCTACGGTTATAGAATTAGGTACCAAAAACCTTCATGGGAATGTCTTTTTCCGGACCTGAATCCATAATGGTAGTATGTATAGACCCTCTGGGAATGTCGCGCCGGATCTCCTCCATGCAGCGCGCCCTCGGTCCAGTGCCCACATACCCGAGAATTACGAGTGCCCGGTTGGTCACAACCCTATAAGGGTCCAAGCACTCCTTGTTATAGGACTTTGGTGCCTTTGTGGGTACCCAAAAACACAAGTAAGGAATACTTGGACCCTTACCCTAGAAATCTAACGACTCATATATTAAGGCTTTTGGGCCCAAAGACCATACTACATAAGGCTTTTGGGCTATTTTGATGCCCAGGGTTAGGGTAATGTACAGGTACTAGTTCTATGACCCTCAGCATGCACGGCCGAAGACTGCTGGGGCATTGCAAGACTTAGTGAAGTCTCTTGATGTTGTATTCAGGGTCCGAAGAGCCTACATGTTTTTCATGAAGAAATTACAATGAGAAAAGGTAGGTTATTCACGCAAGCCACAGATGCCAAATCTTTTGATCCGAAAGCACAAAGCCTAAGCCCTCGACTACCTGGTAGTAGAGTAGGTAACCTTTAACCATTTTTGGGTAGTATATTTAATCCCTATATAACCAAAAAGGTTAACCTTGAGTTCCCCATGATACCAGACAAGTAGGACTAAAGCCCCAACAACCTCAACTCTCGCCCTGCCAGTTGGCCCGTCAGAAATCCGGCGAGATCCTGCCAACAGACATGGAGGTCCTGATGGGGACTTCGAAACCCTAAACCCTAAACCAGGGGTACTGGGGTTTAGGCTTCAAGCAATCTGGGGTAGTCGGCTCGCTGGGTGATGTAGAGGATTATGTTTAGGGCAACAAGGTTCGGGGTTCAGTGTTGTCCCTTTAAATTATATACTTCCTGTTGAAGTATCACATCGGCTAACCTTCATGTAGCCACATATGGCAGTTTGTTGAGGTTCGGGCAAATTAAAAGTTTGTTGCTGAAGGTCGTTAGAAGCAAAGGTGCCACCGCTCCGTATTATCTCACCTCCACACGCAGATGGCATAGACTCTGGCCCCTAAGACTCCTTGTATTCATATCCAAAAAGCACATAAGCATAAGCATTTTATAGGGATATCCCTACCTTACGGTGCTTCATAATAAGGGCGTTTATATGGGATATCCCTATCCTAATTTTTGCTTATGTGCTTTTTCGGGTCCCTACTTGTATTGATTACCAGGATTACAAGTGAAGACCGACCCTGCCATCCCGTGAACCCTTGTGATCGAGCTGTAAGTGGCAGAGCCCTGTTCGGCCATGGCTGATTTGTCTGAGGGATTCCGGGTTTAAGGGTTTCAGTGCAGGGTCTAGGGTTCAGGGTTCAGCCGACGTTTCCGAGTGATCTAGAGCAAGGCTTATTCCGGGTCAGGCGACCTTCTCAAGTTGTTTAGGACAGAAGCCTGAATACTTGCCAATACTAGTTCTCAGGCTTCTTCATTGTAAGATGAGTAAACCAAACCCCGATACCTATTCTAGTTATCAAGGTGTCCGGTATGACACGGTTGGGCTGCAGCGGGCTGTGTTGTTGCTATTTGTTTAGCTCAGGCAGTACATGGGTGTCACGTCCTTCATGGTGCGCTTTCGGCGTGGAGAAGGTTCCCTAAGCCCGGTAGGTCCTGTAAACGGTGTGGTGTTGGCCGTCGTGGTCAACAGGGGCTCCACTGTCGGCGGACGGGATAATGCGGCTCCAACAGCCTCCGCCTGATACTACTAATACTGGTCATACTAATACTGATACTCATATACTAATGCTACTGTGCCCAGATCAGGGTGGTCCTTTGTATTCAGCCCACCAGTTTCTCGCAAACAACGGTGCAACGTGGGCTTTCTTCTTGACGAATTGTGGCTCTGCAGCAAGGAAGCCGTACCTAGAGGAGTTTGGCCTTGCTGATGGCTCCATGCCCGCATGGGTCGTGTGACATGCTGCAACTTGTCTCTGGGAGCCTTTGTGTCTGCTTGTAATGGAAGGTCTCAGTGCTTTGGTCTGCTGTTGTGAGGACAATCGAAGGTTTCTGTTCCCGTGCCCAGGAATGACGTTGAGTGAGTCGTGCTTGTGTGCCGGTGTCATCATATCTTACAACTTAGTAGGTTGTGGCTCCATCCATGGTAAATAAACGATTCGGGTTAGGCTTTTAAGGGTGTAAGAACTTTGGGGTTTGGGTTTGGGGTCCAGCCCTATACGGATCTACGGAATCTATGGGTCACGCTTCACCTTCGACGCGCAAACAAATCCTACTGCCAGGCAGGTTGGGATCTGCTCGACATGAATGACAAGGGCGAGTGGCTTCCACAGGACCTGGGGATTGAGGGTTGGCAAACCTGAGTTCTTAAAGGTTTGGGGTGTTGGGTTACCCGTCAAGCTCTGAGGTAGTTTCCGAGTACAGTAGAAGCCGAAAAGTTGGAAACCCCAGAGCCTCCATCCTTAAGAGTAATGTATAGTATAAGGAATGCCAGTATTTGGCCTTAATCCAGTTTCCAACTTTATGGGGTTTACTGTAGATGTTCCAAGCCCTAAACCTTCAGCACCACCGAACCTCAACCTGACACCTCGAATCTGAGGCGGCTAAAGCCTCACGCCAAGAGTCCAAAGGACCCAATAATCAGGTACTCGGTTTTGGGATAGTAGTTGTGTAGGTTAGGATTTTGGAGAGTATATGATTATTGGGTACTTGGACCCTTGGGGGCACCCTCGCACCTCAAATTTGGGGTTTCGTTTCTCAGTTCTCCAATACCCAACCTTTAAACTTGTTGGGTTCTTATAGTTAACTAATCTGAAAGTTTAAATTTTTTTTCTCTGGCTTTATTGGGGAAGTAAGGTTTCGTGTGAATCTACTGACGACTACCCTGCCACTGCGGCGATCACTGCTATCACAAGCACGGATACCCACGGTTACCGATTCTTGCATGCAAAGGACCCCATCGCATTCCTCCGTGCCGATGCACAATGGGCCACGGCCTCGACAAAAGCTCATGTTTGAGACAAAGTAGAACCCAATTACGTTTAGGGTTTCGGGTTTATGCAAAGGGTGAAAGCAAAGCGTTCCGAAGTTCGGAGATCGAGGTCGTAGCTGAACTGTTCTAGTCTGTTTGTCCCGTTACAGTTGCTTTGTGCCTCACCTTGAGCCCCAACGTCTGAAGTTTTTAGACAAAGAAGCCGAACAACTGCAAGCACCTACAACCCCTAAACACTTCTAGCGCCTGAAGGTGGTTTGTGTGTGCAGAATGACGTGCAAAGTTCCTTTGATTGGTTCCTGCTCGGTGCGTAGCGAAGGAGTTTGTGATTGGAGCAGTTGTTCGAGTTGTGTGCCCTCCGGTCACCCTAAACCCTAAACCCTAAACTAAAACCCCCAAAGCCCCAAGCCTTAAACCCGAAACCCTAAACCCTACTGTAAACCCAAGGTCTGCGTCGAAGAAATCGAGACCCAGAAGCCCTACACTTTGCGCCTTAAGCTGCCAAACCCCACATCTCATGGATACTGTTGATGATTTAAAACCTGGATTACCTTAAGGACCCTAAACTACGGGATTTATGGCATATTCCTTATGATGGGTAATGCAGGATTTGTATCATCAACCGTAGTTTTAGGGTTAAGAGTTTCGGCTTTAGGGTTTAGGGCTTAGGGCTTACGGCTTGGAGTTGAGGGCTTGGCCTTGGAGGCAAGGTTAGGGCTCAGGGTTTAGGGCTTAGGCTTTGGGGTTTAGGGTTTAGGAATTCGCTTTTAGGGATTGGGGCTTAAGGTTTAGAGTTTAGTGTGTGGGAGACTAAGAGGCCACGCTCCTTGCTGACGTGCATGGCGGAGATGAGCAGATGGTAGGCGCAGCCTCAGTGGTTTACCATAGAAGCTTAGTATTTACGAATAATTATGATTCCTGGGGATTTCCATCTGTACTTATACCTATGACATACCCTAGAACCCTATGTTGATTATGAAGGCCCGTCTGTCAATCCCCTTGTGAGCTCCAACCTGAAGCCTCACCCTAATCTACGACAAACTACCTTTTCTTCTGTACGTTCTTACCATATTCCTTAGCTGTGACATTTCTGGCCCCACCAAGAAGCAGCTTTTCTGTGGCAGTTAAGGTATCTCTTGCAGTTCGGGGGTTCGCCCTAAACCCTAAACCGTGGCTCCATTTCTTGTTGCGATCCCGGCGGGTGTGCCTTGTCGGCTCGAGGATTGTTTAATTGTATGGATCAGGGGTTGCAGGGTCCTGAACCTCAACCCCTAACTCCTTCGGAGTACTTAAAATCTCCACCATACGCCCTAGTTCAAAGGCTGAAACCCTACACCCTATACCCTGCAGTAGACCCCAAAATCTAAACCCTACTCCCGAAATCCCTTAACCCCCGACCGCTTTGAGGGATGTCTTGGGTTCCAGTGCTTTTATTGGTCACAGATGGGCTGGCGAGGTGAGTTCAGGGCATGGATGGGTGTAGTGATATACACCAGACCGAGCCACTCTAAACCCTCGTCCTAGAACCCCACGTCCCAAACCCTCAGCCTCAATCCCTGAATTTCTGAACCCTTTACCTCGAACCGAGAACTCCTAAACCTTGACTCCCAAAGTCCATCCATTCCTCTAAAACCCTAGACACCCTACATCCCGAACCCAAAACCCCGAACGAGGAACCCAGAAGAAACCTCGAATCTACCTGGACCACGAACAAGCTAGCCTTCTAGGGTGCCCTAATATGGTTTCTTTATATTATAAGCCCCTTAAAAAGGCAGATTATTTTGGGTTAACGGTTTAGGGTTTAGGGCCTAAACCCTACACCGTTTATGTAGACCGGCATAAGCGCGATGCAGGCACGGAAGATCTCCAAGCGGACGGGACCTCAGTTCCGAAGGAGCTGTAGCCCTGAAACAGCGATACGATATACACAGGTGTTTAGGGTTTTAGGGTTTTAGGGTTTAGGGGTTTAGGGTTTAGGGTTTTAGGGGTTAGGGTTTGTGGGCTTGGGGCGTGTATTGAGGGATTTCCCCCCCTTATGATGATGATCTCCGGGGAAGGTGTGTTTGCCGTGAGTTGGCCCTGTCCAGTGCCATTCTTTGCCTCAGTCTACACCCTTAGAGTAAGCCTCAAAACCCTCGTGCTTTAAAACCCTGAAACCTATATTATACTTTCAGGGAACGTCCAGCCGAACCTGAAGCCAAAGCATTCAGATGTAAAAAGGCCAGGAAGATAGACAACAAAACTACACCCTAAGCCTTAGCAGGTAGAAAGTACCTGATGAACATCTACTCTTCTAACATAGGAGAGCTACTATATCCTAAACCTCAGGACCTCGTTTAAACCCTTAGTGCCTTGGGGAAGGGTTTAGTGGGCTCCTAACCTAATGCTTGCAAGGACCTTGCAATCAGGGCCCTAGACCTCTTCAGGACCCCAAAATGAGCCCTAAACCGTATACCTCAAACCCTAAACCGGCCCAGGAAGGTAACAGTGAAGGGGAGCTTCGGATCATGATGGTGGATCCCAACCCACACCCCCAGAAAGATCCAAAAAGTAGATCCCTTAATGGGGATTCCTAAAGTACCCTTACTAGTATAGGGCCCCGAATTAGGGGATCTACTTTCTAGATCTTTGGGGGGTCTGGGAACAGGCTTCGGACGGTCATGGTGGATCCCAGCAGGCTTCCGACGAGGAGTTGCAGGTGGTCACGAGGGGTTTGAGTGACGAGGAGGGCAACGCAGACCACACGATGGTCTGGTTTAGGGTTTTGGGTTTTGGGTTTAGGGTTTAGGGTTTAGGGGGCTGATGGTGATGAAGATGAGCCAAAGCCCTAAATCCTAGACCCTAACCAAACCTAGAACGAAATACAGTAGAAGCCAGAAAGTTGGAACATCATTATCCTCATGCCCTTAAAGTAAAGTATAAGGGATCCTAGCACTAATCCTCCTAAGAAGCCTTCATTCTGTCAAAGCCGTCCCCATTTAGCTCAGCCTCCGACATGTTCCACGTCATTTCGGGTATGTAGGAACCTGATTAAGAAACCCTGGCCCCGCAACCCCATTATATCAAGATCCATAGTAAGAACTCCATAAGGAACCAAGGTTTCTCAATCAGGTTCCTACATTTCATAGCTTTTAGAAGAAGTCGATATGTAAATGCAAGGTATACTCTGCTTGCTTTGGCGGACTTAGGTGTGCTTCTGCATGCATGCATGGAGATATGTGGGAGTTTCCGAAAATACGGGACCCTAATATAGTAGCTTGAATAGTAGGATCGTTACTATAAGGACCCCCAAATAAGGTACCCCTAATTTCGGAAACTCCCATGTGTAGAAACACAGAGATCCTGGTATTTAGGTTCAACATTGCGGCTGTCGACATGTTTGAAACTTTCGGGTGGGGGATCCGCTTCAGAGCATTAGGCTCTGTGAATCCGGAGATTGCCATTGTCACTGTCATTGTCATACCCTAAGGCCCCATAGCAGTTCCTTTTCGGGGTTCATATTTAGAATCTTATGAGGTAATCCCCAAAAGGAACTACTGTGGGGCCTTAGGGTAATTAGTCCTTGTCCTAGTGCGTCAAGCTATGATGGCTCTCGTAGCGGCAAACCCTAAGCTTAGACGGTACGCCTAAGACCAAACCCTCTCCACCTATTCCCGGAACATGCTTGCGCAGATGTTGCTCTGAGGTACCGACACCAATGAAGAGCGAGATTCTGGCCACCACCAAGGCAGCATTTTGAATGCTTCAGGCGAAACCTTAAACCTGGTTCAATACTTCCTTGGTCGGAAGTGACGTGGGCCTCAGATGTTGGAGTACGTGAGATAGGGCTCCGAATTGCAAGCTATTAGTAGTACTATCCCCGTATTTCCGTCCTTAACAATACCAGGTTATGCCCCCAAAGTCTAGTTTGCTCAGTCCGGCCCCTTTAGTGTTCGGTGTAGGGGCTTGGGAATGCGGGTGTGGGGGTTTGCCCTAAGCCCGAAGCTCAGAAAAGTTTAGGTCTGTAGTCCTCCAGGTTTCATGTAGCATTTACAGTTGAGGGAGGTTCCTCGATTTGGGTGGTGGTCAAAATTGGGCTCCCATTTTGGGTCCTTGTTATAATACGGCACCTAATATTTATGGTACCCAAAAAGGGACCCTAATTTTGACAACCACCCATTTCAAGTTTGGGGAAAAGGCGTCGACGCTCGGAGCTACCTCTGCTTATCCTGTATCCTACTACCTGGACCCTAAGGAGCCTACCTTTTTAGGGTAGGTAGGTTGCCTGGGGTTAAGGTAACTTAAACCCAAAACTCAACATCCCAAGGCCTAAAAACCCTAAACTCCCAAACCAACTGGCCAGAGCTCAAGGCACCCGTGAAGAAGGAGCCGAGTGCCCCGGCTGCTGCAGCTCCGGTACCGCAGCCGCCTGTGAAGAAGGTGGGGTTTTACATGGCCCTACCTGGACCCCAAGAAACCTAGGCTTTTTAGGGCTCCCTCACAAGATTTCCTAGACTAAGTAAGTCCTTTAACAGGTAGTCGATTTGGGTCCAACTTGACCCTGAAGTCTAAAGCAGAGGGTCCGTGTGTACTACCAGGATTACCATCGTGGAATTAGGTCCCAACAGACCATCTTTGTTATGTCTTGAGGGACCTCGAGTCACTAGTCCTTATATTCAGAAAACTAGGGTAGGCGGCTTGGAAGGATGAGACCCTCCGGCAAGGCCAATCAACTTTCTATGGCTTTTCAGTTACTTATTTGCTCTGCATTGCCCTACAAGAACTGGATTGCGAACATATGTCTGCATCGCACGCGCTCCCCCCAAACCTTGATCCCAATGTCATTGCTTTCATCGACCCTGGCACACATTTCTGTTGTGGTTCCCCATGTTGGATCGAATTAAAACCCTCAGAAAATCGCTAGCCCGAAGAAGTCCTAGCCTTAAACCCAAAAGCCCTAAACGCTGAATGCTGCAACTCAGGGCCGAAAGCCCGAAACCGCCTAAACCATCAGACCCTCAGCCCAAGAGTAGGTGCTGGATACCGCAGCTTTGCATTTCGGCCGGTTTGCGGATGCTGTATGTATACATATATATATATATATATTTATATTTATATTTATATACATGTATGCATGTATGTCTTTACCTTTGTAAGTATGTATTCAACTCAGACAGAGAGAGAGAGAGAGAGAGAGAGAGAGAGAGAGAGAGAGAGAGAGAGAGAGAGAGAGAGAGAGAGAGAGAGAGAGAGAGAGAGAGAGAGAGAGAGAGAGAGAGAGAGAGAGAGAGAGAGAGAGAGAGAGAGAGAGAGAGAGAGAGAGAGAGAGAGACAGAGAGAGAGAGGGAGAGGGAGAGGGCAGGGAGGGCTTTTTGGGCCCCGAGTCCGAAGGATGAAGACCCCTGGCAAATGGATCCCTAAGTCTTTAACCCTAAACCCCTAAACCCTAGATCCTTTAGTGTTCAGGCATCAATCAAGGCCTTTATTCAGTCAGAGAGGTTATCAATCCGGAGTTTGCATGAAAGATGGATCTGCGGAAAGACGTCTGCACTCACTTTCAGTCCCTATGGGCCCATGTGCCCAACTAGTATATGCCTTGGTCTTAAAGTACTCCCTATATAGGTACATTGGCCCCAAAGTATGTGCTGTTTGGGGTGCATGGACGCCTGAAGGATTCAAGCTTCAAAGTGTTCTGCTAGGAGCCGAGTGCTCCGGCGAGCAAGCCGGCCTGTGCACCGGACGCAGGCGCTCCGGAAGCTTCGACACCTTAAGGAATATTCCCTAATTCCTTAAGGGGTATTGAAGTCCCCTAAACCCTAAACCCTATAGCCTATATAGTTCCGTTTTAGGATGATTTAAGGTATATTTGCTAATTAGCAACTTTACCCGGAACCCACCTGTAGTCTCCATTGTAGTTCCTTTTTGGGGGGGTACCTTATCGGATCCTTATTATATATTTGGTTAAACCAGAAAAAGGAACTACAATGGAAACTATAGGTACGCTAGGTATCGATTTGAGAAAATTGTTGATGTCCCTTATTGTTTAACAATTGTCTTATATGTAACTTTGGGGACTGTTGAAATCGACACCTAGCAAACCCAATGTCCTTTACTGTTTATGATATAACATAGAGCCATAATTATGTGTAATTTTGAGGGCTGTTGAAGTTGACACCTAGCTAGCCCTAAACCCCAAGGCTTTAAAGTAATGTAACGGCTGAAGCCGAACCCCACCCACAAAGCTGTCACAGACTGAGAGACGACAAACCCAGAGACTCCAATATCCCTCAATTAGGGAATATCCCTTAAATCATACTAGCGATCCTACTATAATTTGAGGTCTACTCCTTAATTAAGGATATTGGAGTCTCTGGGAAGCATCCCTGTCCCGGCACCCTAGACCCTTCAATGCGCAACGATCCCATTAACTAGAAGCCCCAAACCCACAGCCTTCGATCCTTTGCATCCTTCTCCAAGTATATACTGCTCTAAGCAGACGGAGAAAATCCCTCGACAAGCAACGCGACCCTAAACCCCAACATCGAGGAACGAGCCATCTGAGAGAGGTTCTCTATGCTTGGTGTTTGCCCTTTTTGAATGAAGCTGCTGGTTCCGCTAATCGGCCTTGAAGTCATCTAGTTGCTAACATGGAGCAACCTTCCTATTGACCGCTGGCTGCCTGCTTGTTGCTACTGTATGGGCATTGTTGGCTGACCAGGTGTGACCAAGCCTCCCGCGGCGACTGGTCAAAAGGAGGCAGCTCGGCAGTTTGTTCTCAAGCTTCCGTAAACCATAAGTAAGCCCCTAAGCCCTAAAGCCTAACCCGCTACAAGTTATGCTCCTAAGGTTTGCGGAATAGTTTACATACCAAAATTAGGCCCCGAATGCTAAACCCTACTGGAATAGCCTCAAACAAGTAAATGCTTGGCTTGTTCTGGCTGCTGTGCATGTTGTGAGGAGAGCTTGAAGCCCTGTTCGTAGCGCACCTAGTAACGTCAAAAATATTCAACTTCCTGATCCATGTTGTAAGTTCTACAGTCTTGTTTCACTTGTGTATGTATGCATGTGTGTACATGCTCATAAGTGTTGTGTCATAATCTATGCGCATGTGTGTATGTAAGTATGCATGTATGTAAGCACGTATGTATGCATGAACGTATGCGTGTGTGTGTGTGTGTGTGTATGTGCATGCATGCATGTATGCATGCACGGGCATGCATGCATGGATAGCTGGACGTATGCATGCATGCATGCATGCATGCATGCACATGCGATGATTGTATGTGTGTATGTATGTATGCATGTATGTGTTGGTGATGTATGCATGTATGCACGTGTGAATGTATTTGTGCATGTATGTATGTATGTATGTATGTATGTAGTTATGTATGTACTTATGGCTGTATGTATGACTGTGTGTGTAATGTACTGTACTGTAATGTAATGTCGTGTTATGTTTAATGTAATACCATGTGATGTCATCTAATGTAAGGTAAGGTAATGTAAGGTAATTGCAGGTAGGTATGCATGTATGCATGCATGTAAGTAAGCAAGTATGTTTGTATGTGATGTATGTGTGTACGTTTGTTTGCTTTTGGGGGGCTGACTCACATCCCACGACTGCATTAAGAATTCTGATCACCCGACTCCCAGCTGGTGAAGGCGTCTGTGGCTGCCCCGGCGGCCGCGAAGGCATCAGCAGGGGCAGCCTGAGTCTCGAGAAGCGCACTGCCAGCAGCATCAACAAAACTGCTCAACGATACTGAAGCTGCGATCTTTTTATCATAGGAGCACTTGTAATTATTTGTGGTTTAGTATTTGTGGTGCTCGTGGTCGCGATGTTCAGCGAAAGAGCAGCTGAATAGTTAAATGTGTCAATCCCGCTTCCGTGCGCAGACGCGGAATGGGTCTGGGTATTTGCTGGCTTACGGTTGTTTCTTTTTTACCATTTATAAACCTTCATAAATCCTTTGGGAACCATGCAAAGCCTGCATACAACCCTTAAATGCTGCTGGGAGCCCCCATAAACCCCTTAATAAAACAGCAAAAGCTTTTCAAAGAGCCCGAACTGCTGATTGCAAGAATTGAGCACATACCATGCAGTGTTTTTTCGCACCGCCTTGGTCGGGCGTGATGGATGCGCTCAAACAAAACCCTAAAACCGGCTCCAGACCTGACCACCGACTTGCCTCGGGCTGCAACAGAGATGTTCCTGGCTCCCCGTCGAATGCGGCTCGCCAGCCCTGAGGGTCCATGTACCCAACTACCTATAGCCTCCATTGTGGTTCCTTTTTTTGGTTAACCAAAATCTCTATTATAGGATCCTAACCATAAAACTGGTTAACCAAAAAAAGGAACTACAATGGAGACTATAGGTAAGATGTACAGTGGCCTAACCCTAAGGGTCCAACGGAGCCAATAATTAGGTATGGACTGACAGGGCTCGCATCGAGTCGAGCTTGCGATACAGACGCTCGTAGTCCTTCGGTCTCGGCGTGATCCCGCAGAGCCGCAAGTACTCGCCGTGGAGGCTGGCCGAGTGCACACCAATTCAAACCCACTACGCCCTAAACCCTCGATGAACCCTAATTAAAAGCTAAACGCTCAATCGCGTCGCATCTTCGTGAGATGTCGGCTTTTAGTGCAAGCCTGTACTCAGGCCTGACACAGCAGACAATGAAAGTCCACGGCACTCTAAACAACCCCAGGCCCCTGGCTTTAATCACGCCAGTTATGCATGATTACTGACTTATTCGTATTTGGTATTCTTAGCGGCCTTAGCATTGGTATGAGTATTAGATTTTTTAGTACCATTCCTATTGGTATGTGCATTATAGTTTCAGTACAAGTATATGTATTCGCTTCAGTACTAGTACTAGTGTTGGTACACCAGTATAATTGTTCTCATTGTGATTGGCTCCGACATGACGCACATGCCTTGCTATTGTTGTCGATTCTGAGCGGTAATCTCCTTCAGGCACTCAAGAAGGAGCCCGGCCCCCCGGCGAAGGCTGCGGCAGAGTTCCCGAAGAAGGCTTGGCTTCTGGCTTGGGCTTCTTTTGTTTGGGTAACCAATTTCAAGGTTAGGATTAAATTATCCTATAATGTAAATTTTGGGTAGCCAAAAAGAACTACACTCGAAATCGTTTGAAAGTTCGGGGGCTAGGGCACAGGGCTTCGGGCTTTGAGTTTCGAGTGCAAGTTTCGGAGAGCTAGTGTGAACTAGGAGGTTTGCAACTTAGGGTTTAGGGGTTTAGGGTTTAGGGGGTAAGCTTGAAATTTGTTTGGGTTTTGGCATTCCCAAAGGGTCCAAGTATCATTCTGGTATATACTCATAGGGTATTTTGGGGGTCTAAGTATATACCGAGATGATACTTAGACCCTTTGGCATTTGAGCTCTGTCTAGGATATACGGCCAGGAAAGCGCAGGAGGAAGGTTGCAAGGCTGTTTTGGTTTAGGAGTTTTCAGAGGGTTTGCAATGTCCGGGTATTGCCACATGGGTATCTAGATTTAGATCTCAGATTTAACTATCTCTCCAGGTATAGCCTGTTATGTAGCGTGCCGGGAAGTGTCATATGGAACATCGTAGTGTTTGCAGAGTTTCAAGACTTCCCCCTAAACCCGAAACTGTTTGACAGACCAGGGGGTCAGCTGTAATAACATCGGGCCTGAAGACATGTTTCATGATTTTGCAGCTCTGGGCTCTCGAGGCTGCTTTTTTGGGTTGAGGGCTTTGGGCGGCTTTAGGGTTTGAGGTTTGGGTTTTACGATTTAAGGGTTCAGACGTTTGGGCTTCGGAGGAGCTCTAAACCCGTGGAATAAGCACTGGGTTGCTGGGACCACACCCTGCGAAGCGGTAGTAGAAGGTGTTTGGTTTGTAGCCTTATCCCGTTCGTATAGCATTCCAGACCCAAGTTGGAGTCGCCAGTATATGGTTTGAAGGGTTTAGGGTTTAAGGTTTAGGGTTTAGGGGTTTAGGGTTTAGGGGTTTAGGGTTAGGGGTTTAGGGTTTAGGGTGTGTCACAGTGCCACGGCGCTCCCCACCCATGGAGTGGTCGTGGGTCGCGCCGTCTTCGTAACGTGGAACCCACCCACAACCACCCGAAGCAGGACTAGAACGGGTTTTGTGCTCTGCTTCTTCTTATTCGATTGCTGCACTAGCCGAAAAGACGTTGCAATGTTGCGGAACGTCAAAGGGACATCCGAGTGATGTAGTCACAAAATAGCAGCGACGCCCTCGCTCGTCCTCGCCGGCCGCCAGAGTCGTCCGTCAGCCGTCGTCAGAGTCGTCCGTCAGGGCCCAGTGCCAGGCCTCCAGAAGTGGTCTGCAGCCGTCGCCAAGGGTTTTTCGCCCGGCAGTCCGTGCCAGAATTGTCCAGCTTTGCCGCCAGACTCGCACTCCAAGCTCCTTGCCAGAGTCGGCCACTGTCCCCAAGCTCTTTCTAGGACGTCCCGTCACTGGGTCCCCGCAGGGTCACCCCGCTGTCTTCGCCAGGGTCGCTTGGTCAGGGTCGCCGTCCCCGCCAAGGTCCTTACGCCGTCCTTGCCAGGGTCGTCCGCCGTCCCTGCCACGATCGCCCGTTCTTGTGAGGGTCGTCCGCCGTCCTCCAGAATCGTCTGCCAAGCTGTTTTTGGCCTTTTTAGTTGCTGTCAAAGCCAAGTGCCCGCCAGAGTGTCCGCCGTCCCCGTTAGGGTGCCCGCCGTCCCCGCCAGGGTCGTCCGTCTGCCAAACTGTTTTTGGCCTTTTCGTGCCTATCAAAGTCATCGCCAAGTCCCCACCCGCCGTCCCGTCCGCCATCCCCTTCAGAGTCCGCCAGAGTCGTCCGCCGTCCCCGCCACGCCGTCCCCGCCAGGGTCGTCCGCCGTCCCCTCCAGAGTCGTCTGCCAAGCTGTTTTTGGCCCTTTTGCTGTCACAGCAGAGTCGTCCGCCGTCCCCGCCAGGGTTGCCCGCCGTCCCCGCCAGGGTCGCGCGCCGTCCCCGCCAAAGTCGTCCGTCCACCAAGTCCCCGCCAGGGTCGTCAGCTGTCCCCGCCCCCGCCAGAGGACTCGCCAGGGTCGCTCGTCAAGCTCTTTCTACCAGGTCCCGTCCCCACCAGGGTTCTCGCGCATGGGAGATAAGGCGCCATTCTGTCCAGAGTCGTCTGCCAAGCTGTTTTTGGCTTTTTCAGTCCCTGTCAGAGTCGCCAAGTCCCCGCCAGAGTCGTCCGCTGTCCCCGCCAGGGTCGCCCGCCGTCCCCGCCAGGGTCGTCCGCCGTCCCCCTCCAGAGTCGTCTGCCAAGCTGTTTTTGGCCCTTTTGCTGTCACAGCAGAGTCGTCCGCCGTCCCCGCCAGGGTTGCCCGCCGTCCCCGCCAGGGTCGCGCGCCGTCCCCGCCAAAGTCGTCCGTCCACCAAGTCCCCGCCAGGGTCGTCAGCCGTCCCCGCCAGAGTCGCCCGCCATACCCGCCAGGGTCGCTCGTCAAGCTCTTTCTACCAGGTCCCGTCCCCGCCAGGGTTCTCGCGCTGGGAGATAAGGGTACCCAATTTTACTATTGTGCCCCATGGCTAGCAGTGCCAAATCAGGTCTGGTAGACTCGATCTGCTTGGCCAAGCAAGCAGATCTCGAAGCGGTAGCGTTCAGTGGTACCGGCCGCCGCCGGGCGCGGGCGGCCAATGGTTTAGGGGTTTAGGGTTTAGGGTTGTTTGAAGATCATATGACCAAATTGAAGTCTCGGTGTCCAGCACAACGAAGGCCGCAGTGGAGAAGGAGCGCGAGCAGACGGAAGCAGGCTCTCCAGCAGGGTCTTACTAGTGCAAAAGGGAGAGTGGATCGCAGGACAGACTGCCGGGGCTCTTGCGTTTGGGGTTGAGGGCATTGCCGTCCTTGGGGCTTGCTTGTTTTCATCCCTCGGCCCAAAAGCCTAAGCATCCCTAGGCCAAAAACCGAAATTCCCTGATCCCCAACCTCGTGGGCGCAGAAAGGTTGAGGGCAATTCTTCTGGGGCAGTGGAAGGGAGGGTGAATGTCGAAGCCAGAAACATTTTTTGTTCGCGCAGGACGTCTATCCAAGAGGTAGCCACTTTGTTTCTAGGTCTTCAGCAGATGCCACAGCAAGCAAGTCTTCAGCACGAAGGCTGAACTCTACAAGTTCGAAAGTATGCCGGCGCTAGCAGACTAGAACGGCTTGACCTGGCTAACACTAGCAACTGTAGCATCTCGAAATGCTCAAGCTTAGCATTTGAAGCATGAACTTTAGGATGGATTGCAGAGGACACGCAAGAGACATGCATTCGACTACATATCCGTGGCGCTAATCCAGTCCCAGTTTCTTAGTGTTTACATCATCAAGTCAACTGCTTTCCTGAAAGTCTCATTGAAAAGCCACCATAGCCGGAAGCAGCGAGTTTGTTCGATGACGGCTGTGGTTGCCAGGCTCCAAACCACCTTCGAGCGCTATCGTCCCAGCTCCGGCTGCACACGAGAAGAAGAGGAAGGAGGCCGCTGAATCAGAAGTAACAAACCTCCCCCTATCATCCCGATAGTCAGAATATAGCACATCTACAGCCGTATCAAGTATCATATCTCTTGCCGCAGCTAGACCACGGCATAAGGCTCGACCTCTTGATACTTTACATGAAAGCACTTCAGAACCGGATCCGAACTCGAAACACCTTTGCCGAATAATGTGCTCTCCGGTCCTTGTGCTGCATGACAGGCGAAGCCAGCGCCGGAAGC